ACGTCAGTATTTCTCGGAATGTGTGTGATTCATGGCCATGGGCATACAACAGACAATGCCAGACGGTTTGGAGTATGGGCGTACTCCCTGCAGAGACTATTATGACTGAAACATTATCATAGTGTTACATATTCATACCGAAGGATGCCAGAATGGTACAAAATGGTAGATATCTACATTTTTATATGCTAGATATCTATACCAAAAACTAGTTCATTTCATGTATACAGTGTATATTGCATTTTAGGGTCCCATAGTGCTTTGCATAGGGGAAGGGACCCACATCATTCTGCACCCAGCTGGGAGATACAGTACAGGGTAGCCGTTGAACACCAGCAGCTGATCAAGTGGAAAAGTGAGAAATGGCTTCACCAGATACATTAAGGGAAACATTTACAATGGAAAGAGTGCGATTCCAGAGGAGGGCAGAACAGGGCAGAGCGGTAGCTCTGTGGCTGAGGATCTGCGCCTGTAGCTGGAAGGCTGATTGTTCTTATCCTGCGGCTGGCAGAGGAATCCTACTCTGTTGGGCCCCTGGGCCCCAGCTGCTCCAGGGGTGCTGTACAATGGCTGACCCTGTGCTCTGACCCCAAGCTTCTATCCCTGTCTGTGTGTCTCATGGAGAGCAAGCTGGGGTATGCGAAAAGACTTCCTACTAAATTCCTACTGCAAGAAATTGTATATGGCCAATAAAGTGATCTGATCTTAGTAGAATTGCACTAGGAGCCTGGAGTTAACACCCCTGCTCTTTCAGAAAGTCATGGGATTATATGAAGTAATCATGACCTCAGACACTCTTCTTGTTCTGCCCCTTACAACCTTGCAACCTCTCCCTGTGTTGCCCTGGCATGTTTCCCACAGGGTTGTGTGAAAGAACAAAGTGCAAAAGCTGCTGTACGTGTTTTACAGATTTGACCATCATCATTCGATATGACTTCTGTTGAACAGGCATGGTCTCAGGTGCTTAATAGGATGGATGCACACCATTTCGTTCCATGAAGCTGTTTTAGAATAAAAACAGAAAAACTACATGTGGTTGTATTGTTTGGCCAAGAACCTTGATCTTCAGAGATCATTGTCATCAAGGCCGTTTTGACATCAAATAGTTGGGACTCTGGAAAAGTGTTATATGAGCCAATGTGAAAGTGGGAACTCATGCAATGAACCACTTCCTTTATTCATTATAAAAAAATAATCCGGGTTCTGCATCTACTGCCTTGTTACTTTACAGAAGTAAAGTATCTGATGTTTGTTGTCTTGCTACAAACACCTGCTGTTCACTTCTTGTGTGACAGATAATGTATCATAGATGAGGGTCTATCTCCTGGATTTTTGGGCTTTTATTCTTACATAATGCTCTAATCCTTGAGGAGCTGGTTCACACAAGCTGATATACAGTATAACCTTAAACCTCGCTCTGGTGTTGAAAAGGTTAAATCCTACTGTATGATATCAGAGAGCATGTTGAAACAGGGTCTTTTTATTGAGTCTTAAGTTGGTCCTGACTTCAGAATGAGAGTGACGTTTGCTCCAATTTAAGGGGATGAAAAAAGGTCCGGCAAAGAAGCTAAAATGTCTTGTTTTGCATTTCATTTATTTTGTGTGGTGATAGAAAATGTTTTTGTTCTTCCTGTTTAAAAAGTAAAGCTATGCTGCTCTTAGTTATTCCATTGTTTTGGCAGTCGACTATCTGCGGTGCCAGATATTATTTGGTATGTCACATTATCCTCAGGGGAAGCTTCTGTTTCTGAAAACAGTTCTTTCTGTGTGTTTCTCTGTGGATTGTGCTTCAGGTCTTCAGCCATGCATGAAAAGCATAAAGCACCAACTGCGGTAGGTGCCTTCTCAGTGTTTATAGAGCGATTTCAGTTTGAAGGGTGATTGTGTAGACCTACTGGAAGTGTGAAATGGAATGCAACTGTGGTTTCCTGTTTTATACTTTTCCCTTTAATTTACCCTCAGTGCA